ACACACACACACACAGACAGACACACACACAGACACACACACACACTTCATGGGAGAAGGTCAATATATTAACATTAATGGGAGTTTGGAATAACAGGAGTTTGGAAGGAGTAGATTCTAACCCTCATGGATGACTCTGAAGGGTTTAAGACTTCAGTTCAGGAAGGCACTGCAGATGTGATGGAAAGAACAAGAGAACTAGAATTAGAAGTGGAGCCTAAAGATGTGGCTGAATTGCTGCAATCTCAGGATAAAACTTGAATGTATGAGGAGTTGCTTCTGATGAATGAGCAAAGAAAGTGGTTACTTGAGATGAAATCTATTCCTGGTGAATATGCTGTGAACATTGTTGAAACAAAAAGGATTTAGAATATTATATAAACTTAGTTGATAAAGCAGTGGAAGGGTTTGAAAGGATTGACTCCAATTTTGAAAGAAGTTTTACTGTGGGTAAAACGCTTTCAAACAGCAACAATACTACAGAGAAATCTTTCATGAAAGGAGGTCAGTTGATGCGGCCAACTCCATTGTTGTCTCATTTTAAGAGATTGCCATAGCCACCCTAGCCTTTAGCAGTCGCCACCCTGGTCAGTCAGCAGGCAGCCACCAACATCGAGGCAAATCCCTCCACCAGCAAAAATCTTACATCTACATCTGAAGGCTCAGATGACTGCTATTTTCTAGCAATAAAGTATTCTCAAATTAAAGTATGCACATTTTTTTACATAGTGCTATTGCACACTTAGCAGACGATACTATAGTGTAAAGGTCACTTCTATATGCACTGGGAAACCAAAAACATGGTCTGCCTTGCTTTATTGCAGTGGTCCGGAACTAAGCCTGAAATATCTTTGATGTTTGTCTACAAAAGAAAACACACACTGACTTTATAGTTTTTGAAGTTCAACCCAGAGATCAGTGAGTTTGCAGAGCTCAAACATCGAGCAAGAGTAGCTGGCATTCCATGACCACCACATCATCATGGATTTGCAACTGGAAAGATTCCAGCGAGTGAAAAGTTTCTTGATGAATTTTCCTGTTAGATTTTCTTAAATAAAAGGGCAAGAGAGAAAATCTATAACTTAGCATCCCAGCAAGATCATGAAAGATAACGATTTTTTCCTAAATGTATTTATTTTAAAAGGCTAGTGAAATAAGAACTAGGGGTTTGGAGCTACATGGCTTGGGTTTGAGTTCCGGCTTTGCTGTTTCCTGAAAGGTGCTCTTGAGTAAGTTACTTACCTGTGTCTCAGCTTCTTCCTTTGCAAGATAAATGATAAGAGTAGTATTTCCAAGAAAGAGTTATTGTGAAAATGAAATGCGATTATACTCTTTACATGCTTAGAAAAATGCCTAGCACAGAGAAAGCCTCAATTTTTTGAAACTTGTTATTATTTCTTCTACTTACCATAGATATAAGGTAATAATTGATAGCAATAGTCATTGATTTCACTAAAAAACTTTACAAAATATAAAGCTGATAACATAAGTTTAACTCTTGGAAAATGTATTATAATTCTTCATGTAATTGTTAGCCTCAACTTTGTTCAATTAAAATCTGTTCTAATGCATGAGTCCTGCTAAGCAATGCTTCATGTCACATTGAGGTGGACCAAGAAAAATTCCACATAGTTAAGCACAACAGAAAGAAACACTGATTTAAGACGGATGATTAGGTATAATAGTGTGATCCCAAATTTTGAGAGCTGTGGAGAAATAGAGGGCCGGGGGGGAGACAATATCTGTGTGTAGGTGTGGAGAGGAAGAGGAGGAGAGAGTGTTGATTTAAGATGTTCTGAGAAGGTCAGCAAGTCTTCCTAAGAATCCGGTGACCAGGAACCTCCTGCCACTGGATGATCAAAGGAAAGATGGTGATTTTGTAATCCTCTGCAGATTGCCTCTGACACAAATACATGCATAAAAATCCTAAGTCTGTGAAAATGTATTTTCAAGATACTTGAAGTTAATCATTTGTTAAGAGAAAGATGATAACATCTTCATCTTGAGATTTATTAAAGAAATAACTCAAATGAATGCTATCCTAAGACATTATTCCATACTGAATTTGTGTGTTTCCCTCTGTCTAATAGCTTATGCAATATCATCCTGAAAATATAGGTCTGGGCAATGTAAATTACATAGCAACCTGCTCTCAGGAATACTGGAGCAGCCTATGAATTACAAAAGCATTGAAGCAATAGCGGTTTTTACTTTTTTTTGTAAGATGATTCTGACAAGGAAAGGTTTATCCTTTCACACAAAAGGAAGGTGAGCCTCTTAAAACTACACAGTTAAAAATAATAAACGCTGTAGGTTTTAGGATCCTTATCTACAGTAGCTTGCTTTATGGAGGTGGTAGCTTTGAGGATGACAGAACTCTGAGTTTATATAACACAGAAAGATTACCTGTCCCAGGGATTGCCAGTCCAAACCTGCACTGCCGATATATACATGTTGTTTGTCCACGATCCAGAAGGAGGACTGTAGCCGGCCTTTGTTGTAAGCGGTCATGTTCATGTACGTCACCTCGGCTCCTAGGAGTTCAAGGAGAGCCTGGTCAGCCTCTGCGTCAAGGCCCTGCCAGGGCTGTCAGTCACCCACCAGCAGCAATACTCATGGTTCTCCATTTGTCCCAATTGACATTTAGGAAAGCTAAATATTTACGTGAGTTTGGTGGAAAGAAGGTCCCCAAGGTACTATTTTGTTCCCTAAAACAAAGAACATTAAAAAAAAAAAAAAAAAGAAAAAAGAAATGCCTTTTCCTATGCCTATGGCAGAGGAAGTTTTGTATATAGTGACAAGACTATGGCTTCTCAAGTCAGACAGATCTGTATTGAAATCCTGGCTCCATCACTTACCATCTGGATGGTGAGACAGGTACACCATATGCAGTTTTCTCTTCGAGTAATTTTAATACAGTTTGCAGGATCAGTCTTGTTCAGTATCACAGCTCTCCTCAATAACACATTGGCCTTATTATGCTTTCTATGCATTATTCATCCTGTAACCCTTTCACTTGCCTTTACTTCTTCATTTCTTCCATTTATTATTTAATTTGGGTTTGGTCTCTTCTTGGTCTTTATCTGATAGTTCTTTATTTTGAGACAGAGTCTTGCTCTGTCGCCCAGGCTAAAGTACGACCTCAGCTCACTGCAACCTCCACCTCCCAGGTTCAAGTGATTCTCCTGCCTCAGCCTCCTGAGTAGCTGTGATTACAGGCACACGCCACCCCACTCAGCTAATTCTTGTGCTTTTAGTAGAGATGGGGTTTTATCATGTTGGCTAGGCTGGTCTCGAGCTCCTGAGCTCAGGTGATCTGCCCACCTCAGCCTTCCAAAGTGCTAAGATTACAGGTATCTGATAGTTCTTAATTTAAGCAATGATTTTTCAAGCTTTACTGAAGTGCAAACCTGAATGGTCAACTAAATCACTCAGAGCATTGTTAACACCAAAAATATATTTGAAGAGCTGAATGTGACCAATTATTTTAGGCTTTAGGATCCAGTGTCAAGCCTTTATGTATTGCTGCTTAAAATGCATTCACAAATTTCTCAAAAGGAACACACAGTCCATTTAATGCAAGGGCATTTAAATAAATTTCTGCTAAAGGTCTCTCCTCTTTAAAAGAACAGACCTATATGCACATAGTTAGTGAACTAAGCTATTCTGTCTTCAGATATTCACTATGAATGAAGACTATATATTCCAGGGCGCACTTCACTGTGAGAGCCTTCATTACCAGAGGCACACAGAAGACTGTGTGGAGATGCATGTCAAGGTATCAGAAAGGAAGGAGAGCAATTTACAGTATGAACTTAATGCTTAACTCTTAGAAAAATGTAAATGATGCATCTAGCTTCCTTGTGGCAGGAGGCTGAAAAGAGATGTCATAAGGTTGGGAGAGAATCTCTCAGGGAAAGCCAGCACCCAGGCAGATTTTCCCTGAGGGTAGAGCAGTTTCTTTATCTTACAAGTGACGGGCACATCTTTCTCTGCCTCCAGCCATCCTGGAATAGTAGCATCTAAAAAAGAGCTGCAGATCCTAGAGGAGGAACTGTTGGGTATGGCAGAATCTGAATGTCCAAAATGGGTAGATACCACGGCAGGTATGGGGACACCCGAATCTGCATGGAGGTGTGGTTGGCCCCACAGACAGCTGCCAGGGCTCCTCGTTAGATAAACAGAGCATTTGTCCTTAGAGACTGGATGAGTTCCCTAAGTCTGCCATAACAAAGTATCCTAGACTGGATGACTTAAAACAGCAGAAACCTATTCTCAGTTTTGGAGGCTAGAAGTCCAAAACAAAGGTATCAGCAGGGCCAAACTTCCTCTGGGACATGTAGGGAAGCAACCTTCCTTGCCTCCTCTGGTGGTGCCCATTCATCTCTGGGGGTTCTTGACTTGCAACTGCAGCCCTCACATTCTGCCTCCCTTGTCCCATGGCACCTTCTCCCTGCACCTGCTTTCTTTTCTGATCAGGACACTGCTCAAGTTGGATGAAGGACCCACCTCCACTACGGTAATTAACTAATTACATCTGTAAAATCCCCATTTCCAAGTAAGGTCACACTCCGCAGTTCTGGGGATTACATCTTTTATATATCTCTCTGGGGGACACAATTCAACCCATAACAGAGACCCCGGTTACTTTCACTGGCCATGCTTTTCGACAGCAATAAACCAGCCAGCACTGAGCGAAGCATTCTCTCCTGTCTCTGGGAGGAAGAGAATGAAGGTGACCTTGGTGCTTGCCTCAGATTCCACTTCAGCATGCACCTTGTCAAGTCTTCACCTGCTTTCTTACTCTGCCTGGTGACTACTTGACCCCTCTGTGACCCCTCATCTCCTGGTGGGGCACACTGTGTCTGAAACTCGGCCGCATGACCAGTTGCCATCCTGCATCAGACTGTTTATTAGTTCTCAGAGTCCTCACCTGTTGTCACACAGGCAGCACTGAGTCTATCTGAAGAGTCCACTGGGGACTGTCCTTTTGTACCTCTCCATCCCACACCCCATCTACACTGCCCTAAAAGTACCATGTTATTTTGCAATTTAGCTTAAAGAGTTTGACCTCAGAGATGATGGGTCACGTGTATCTCTCCAGCCAAAGCCTCTGCAGCTATTTACCGATGCCTAAAATTATTTTTACAAAGGAATAGTGTCATTCCTTCCACAAACCTTGATTGAATACCTAATATATACCAGATGCTGCGCTATGTAAAATCAGGGATAAAAGACCTCAAGTGACTGATTCAAATTCAAGCATATGAAAATATTGCCTGAGACCCTTTGGGCTGTGATCACCAAGCAGATAGAAATGTATTCCTTGGAGTGCTGGAGGCTGTGAAGCCCAGGATCGAGGCACTGGCAGATTCGGTGTCTAGTGAAGGTCAGCTTTCTGTTTCACAGATTGTGCCTCCTCATTGTGGCCTCACGTGGTGAAAAATATGACGGCCTCTCTCTGATTTCTTCTAAGGGCACTAATCGCATTCATGAGGGTTTTGCTGCTTTCATAACCTAGTCACCTGCCAAATCCCTCCCTCCTAATACCATCATCACCCTGGGGGTTAGGATTTCAACACGCAAATCTGGGGAGATACAAACATTTGGAGCACAGCCGTGCCATCTTTAACGTAATCAGGATCTGCTCCAGTTCTGCTGCTCAGACAGGAGAGGCAACGAGGAGCTGAGAGATTGGAAGGCAGAGTCCTTGCTGCTGTATCAACGAAGCCCAAGTGAAGGCCGAGAGCAGGAAAGACAGGAAATTGCCTCACAGTCAGCCCAGGGCCAGGGATCCCTGTCAAAAGCCCACAGAGCTGTGTGGAGAGCTCAAGCTATATGTAATGCTAGTAATTCCCATTTATTGAATACCTGTGTGCCCAGTGCCAAGTTAGCTATGTTACAACAGCCTCATATAGCATAAAATACTGTATTAGTCCATTTGGGCTGCTATTACTAAACATCACACACAACAGAAATGTATTCCTCAGAGTTCTGGAGGCTGTGAAGTCCAAGATCAAGGCTGGCAGATTTGGTGTCTAGTGAAGGTCACCTCATTTTTCCTATTTTAGTACACAATAAATTCATGCATGTGGGGAAAGAAAACCCACTGAAAATATTTGATGATACATCTGAAAACACATTTTTTTTTTTTTGCATATGGTTCATGGACTATCACTTCTCCATTACAAATCATCTATTTGTTTTTCTATCTAAATATTATGCTCCATCTATCTCTGAAGATATGTTTTTATCTTTATTAATATCTGGAGATATATATATATATAGTTATGTCTCCCTCAGTTTATTCAATATTTTACTTAAGAGAATTTATATTTACATCACTTTTAGAATATGTTTGTTCATTGGTTATAGAAATTATCTTCATCCTGTTGGGTCTTTTTGTAATATGTATTAGGAAGTGATGGTTAAAATACAATGTTGACTACAAAACAAATTTAATGATTAAAAAGCATATAATATACCACTTACTGCATTTACGTGCATCACCTAAATTTGAGTTAATTTTATAGTGTTGTGTTAGAATTGCGATTAGCAAAGGCAGTCACATGCAGTACAGGCCTGAAGATTTAGATAAAAGGGCAGAGCAATTTTTCTGTTTTTCATGCATTACATTTATGCAAATGCAGACAATATATAATAATAAATCAAATTATTTCCATTGACATAAAAATCTGACTAATTTTTATAGGAGAGATGACTTTAGTTTCTACTTCTCAAATAATTTTAGGCCTTTTTTTTTTTTTTTTTCCACAACGTGCCACATACTCTTAAAAAATGTATAGAATGACACAATTTTGTAAGCACTAACAGGAACACTTATTTTTATGACCCAGAAGACAGGGATCCTACATATTAAAGAGTTACTATGTTAAAATGACAGCGAGAGCTGTGTGTAAGAAATATGGAGTAATTTATGAGAGCAGCTCATCAGTATTCACAGAGATTACTCAAGCTTAGTATCCACATGCAAAAGAATGCTGAAAACCAGCCCCTTTTTGTCCTATTACTGGTTTTATTTTCTCCACGGGAATCACCAGCTCACAGGAAGTCTTTTCTAAAATTCTAGGTGGGATTATTCAGAGCTAACAAAGGCTTTGCGTTACTAAATAGTTTATACGTTCAAAACTAATATTTAGGTGAGTGACAGTTTCTAAATCCAATATCATTAGAAAACCACAGGTTTTAAGAAAATTATTTTCCATTTATATTAAGGTACACTTTGCTCATAGTAAAATTCACTCTTTCGGGCATAGAGTTCTTAGAGTTTGGAAAGACAGTTGTGTGACCACCACGACCATCGGAATCCAGGACAGTGTCATCACCCCCAGGCTTCTTTTGCAGTGACTTCCTCTTCAAACCCCAGTCCTTGGCAACTACTCATCTGTTTTTTTGTGCCTATAGTTTTGCTTTTGTAAGAAGGTCATACAAATCGAGTCATGGAGTATGTAGCCCTTTGAATCCTGCCTCTCACTTAGCATAACGCATGTGAGACCCATTCACGTGGAACAGT